AAATGTCATCTCTGATCACACTTATCTCTTCCACTTGGACTTAGTGATTTTACATTTTCTTCCACTTATTTACATACACATTTACTATCATGCATTACACAATATTTACTTGTATCCCTTTTCTGCTTATACAACTAAGAATTCTTTGAAGGCCGTGACTTTATTTCATCTTGGTATCCTGGGGCCTAACCCTGTGCATACTGTAGACTCAAGAATCATTTATTAAATGCAAACCATTGATTTAAAAAAACACATGACCAAATATTGGTCATTATTAAAGCTGGCTGAGAAATATACATTGATTCATTCTATTATTATTTACTCTACTTTGTTTTCCCAATAAAATTTGAAAAATAAAGGGTTCAAAATGTCAGGAGATCCTGCAAAATGTCAGATACATCTATCATAATTGTACAGTTTTTACCCCAAATGGAGCTGCTTTATCTTGAACTACAAGCTCTGTGTGTTTCACATTTTGTTAATTTCTCATAAGAAAGAAATCTGAAGTCAAATAATACCCTAAACTCAAATACAATTATGCTCTTTCAGAGAAGCTTTAGGGCACAGATATTACACAAAATGAGAATTTCAAGATAAACTAGAAATTGACAGTTCAAACTGAGTGTTTTATTGGGGAGGGAATTGTATGGATTTTTATTTATCTGGTCACTCAACTAAAATGCTCCAGAAGCTTAGCTAATACCTCTGTCTCAACCCTCTCTCCTCTGAGCTGGTTTGCTCCTCTACTGATAGACCCACAAACTACCATACTGATCATTTTTGTTCTGTTTCTTCATCACTGAAGACTTGGACTTGATGGATTTAACTGATTAGGCAACAGATCTACTCCTCCAGCACGAAGCCCTGGTCACCTCCCCAGTCTCATCTTCCATTTTACAATCTGAAAGCCAGTGCTACAAGCCATACTTGATTAACTGCCTCATCCACGCAAGCGACCCACTCTTAGGGTTTAAGGAAACAGTTCAAAGTCTTTGCTCAGCTTGGATCTGTCTCCCCTCGTTCTCCAATTTGGGAAATATTTTTCCTTTTGCTTCTATACAACTGTGTTGCTTTCAAAACAGCTTTGAAAGCAAACAGATTTCCCAGAGACTTTCAAAAAATGCTTAACTCTACCCATAGCTCCACAGGCCACTGCTTAGGTCTGTGCCCAACAATTGTTCCCTGCAGGTTTGTTTGGCAATTAATTAGTCCCTGACTAGAGTGCCAGTTCACTGCAGGAAACTTCCTTTAATGTTTATCATGCATCTGCCTATGATTTTAGTTACTTCCAGAGGACTATGAACAGTTTAAAACGCAATATGAGTAAATCATGTGCTGTATTAATCTTGTTTTTCCTTATTCCCCTTATTAATGAGTAGATATGTGTAGAACTTCAAATTGTTATTTTAAAATCTCATTAGCCATTTAAATTCTCTTTCCCCCCTAAATCTTAGATACTAATTTTAAGAGATTTTTTTTAAAAATAGGACTTTATCAAAACTGGAAAGTATGTGGGAGAATTGTGTCTCTTAAGACTTTTCTATCCATGACTGATTCTGTCCAGCATTCAAGATGATGATACTGACAGTACTGCTCATCTCAAAGTTAATATAGACTCACCAAAGTAGACTCAGAAGTATCTTCTATGTTAACTGGCGTACAGTGTCACACTAGAGGAAAAACTCTATGATGCTGTCATTGAAATATCATTGCCTACCAAGGAGATGAACTCAATGAAGCTCAAGGTTCTGATCTGGGCCCCATCAACCTCACCCCTCACCACAAAGAATAGCTAATCTGCTGGGCTGTTATGCGCTGTCTTTGCTGGGTGGCTCAAACCCAATGAAGTGCTTGGCCATTTACACAGTTATCCCTGTCTACTTTTTTCTTATTCATAGCTGGAAAGAATGAAAGTGTAATTCTTATGGCTTGTTTTTTAGCTACTTTTTTTTGTCTTGCTCCCTTACTTTGCTAGTATTTAAAAGGACTAAGATGTGTTTCTGCTTAGGCACAGTCATAGTCTCAGAAAACACAGGCAGGAGGAGTAAGCCAGAACTCTCATGCCCTTACTGGGTCTCATCCTTGAACCCTCCTTGAGTTTACCACTCATTGTGGTTGAGTATGACACCCACATGGACACATGTCAGTGTAGACCTGGCAGTTAAAGAGACTTAGAACATCACTTGTTTTATTTTAATCTGCCTCTATTTATTATAGTAAAAATTGGTGCTCTAACTTGCAATCATTACTTACATCCCAGTGTAAGTGGCTATTATGTGATCTCATTTTCTGTAAATGTAATTACCTCAGAATATTTTACTAGGTTAATGGCTAATTTAAGACAAGATTTAAAAACTCAGGAAATTTTTCCTTTTTTCCTTGCTTGCTTGCTTGCTTTCGAAACAGGGTTTTGCTATATGGTGAAGTCACTATGTGGCTAACCCAGGCTGGTCTCTAATTTGTGGTGCTCCTCCTGTCTCAGCCTCCCAATGCTGGGATTGTAGGTGTATACTGTCATACCTGGCTGTTTTCACTTATCTACTTTCTCAATGTTAGGAAAGAGTGGTAAAAGCATATTGTGGCGAGAAAGGGCCCATGTAGGATTTAGTGGACTTTAGTTTTGTCCTACCTGTGTCCTAACTTAGTTTTGTCTTTTGATAAACCAGTTAACTTCTCTGGGTTGCTTTAGTTACCTATATAAAATGAGAGTTGGACTAGACCAGCATTTCATGTGTATTGCAGAACAAACGAGGGCTGATTCATCCTACTAGTGGTGTTGACTTGCATTCTTGAATTTTAGTATGATTAAGGCTCATATAGTAACATTAAATACAAATTTTCCCCAGCTTATTCGATATTTCACAGTATAAGCCGATACATAGACACATTTATATTTGAGTGTACAGAAAAAATAGATGAATACACAGAAAAAGTAGACTCAGATAAGAATATGAATGCGACGCTTATCTCCATCTCAAGGGAGACATTTCAGACTAGCACAAAATTCTTTGATTCTATCTAAGAATAGTCAAGCTTATAAGTCTACCTTTTTGTTATTAAAACTCAAATTTGAAATTTCAATCTAAAACCTCTTCTGCTTGTTTTTTTTTTTTTCTCACTATGTGGTTCAAACTGGTCTTGAACTCACTTTGTAGCCCAAGTTGGCCTTCAACTCGCAGAGATCCTCCTGCCTCGGCCTCCTGAGTGCTGCGATTACAGGCGTGCACTATCACACATGGCCCCAAACTTCTCTACTTTTAAATGACATACTATAGAACTTCCGGAATAAAGACTAAGTCATTTCCAGGGGTCTTAATTTGAGACTTGTGACTGTAAGTTTTCCCCATCAACACTGGCATTGAGGCACTGTCTCATGCTTCTGCAAAAGCTAAGGTCTGTAACTCCATGCTGGTCCTCTTTCAAAACCCAGGTCTGGAAACAAGCCACTATTGTGCGCTAGATTTGGGATCTCTGGCTCACCCAAATTCAGAGAATAAAAACTGATCATTGGAAATAAAATGGAACAACATTAAATGATTTTAATCACAGAAATTGAAGTTGTTGTCCTGTTAGTGCTTCCTTAATATATCAACATCCATGCACTGGGGCAGGGATTTCAAGAGAATGAAAGATTAATATGCATCCCTTTGAGAAGTTGGGTTATGTGTTACTTTTCTTCAAGTAGTTAAATGCAATCACTCTATAATGTAAGGAAAGGAAAAAGGCACTTTATGGGGGTTTATTTAAAACAGTATTATTTTCATTGTGACAAACAGAATTTGTCATAGACTGTGAATGACACAGGATATGAAAACTACGTGTTCTTACATTGCTCTGAATAATTGGAACTTGGTGAACCTATTTCATAGAAAGAAGATATACTGGCCATTATTATACATGAACAGAAACGATCTGTGCACCAGACATAGTCTGGGGAGATTTGCCTTAGCGATCTGCACTTGGCTCCTGTAGGTAGAAAGCTTACAAGAAGGATGAGAAGGCTTCACTCCTTCCCTCTCCAGACATACACAACATGAGACACAGACACTCATAACTCAGCCAGAGAAGATCATATTCTTATCTCGAAGGAGTATAGAAAGCACTTCAGGGACTCCATTCTTTCACTTGGGAAGAAAAGAAAGCTTGGATGTAGAATTAGCATCCCGGTGATTCAAAGTATGCTATTTCAGTAAAAGCACACTTTTACAAGTACGTATATGTTTATCAAAGTTAATCAACTTTTTTTTCATAAAGTCTCAAATCTTTGAATGACCTAACCAAATGGATTCTGGATAGCAAAAGTAACATTTCTATTCGATGGACAAAAATATCTACTGGTAGCAAATATATATTGGTGCCTGCCCTGTGGGATTGGGTTCCCCACTCAGGAGACAGATGATCAAAATGCCTCATTTGGAGAATGGAAATGAAACACTTTCGCAAATTAAGTGATCAAAGCGCATTTTTGACAAGTACCAATTAACTCAATCTCACACCAAAAGCTTACCCATTTTTTATCATAATCAACAATCCAGCTCCACCCCCACACCTACCAGCTAATGAGGCACACATAGATATTTATAATGAGGCGCACTTAGATATTTCCCTCGCAAATCAGCAGCCTTTTTTAGAGGCTAGAATCACTACAGGCATTAAGGTGTGGTAGCCAACACCAACTTGTCAGCCTAAGCGCATGTATTGTCAGCCATAGTTGAGTTGTAATTTCCCACCTTAGACAGTTATTTAACCCTCAAAAAGCAAGCCATAAACCTAATTAGCTTTCATCTCTAGAGAAAACAACACAAAACCCCTTCCTTCTCAGCACAAAACGACTGGGATAAACAGAAATGAACTGTCCACTCTGTAGCCTGCTCTATGCCAAGCACACATATTTTAAAACTTTTGCTTTTGAGTATTAAGCCCTTTCAACTTCTGCAACATCTGGGTCCAGTTCAGAGCTAGATCTGAGCAACAGCACAGCCTGGGAACGAACACTTTACCTTCTGAAAAATCAATCAGTCCCAGCAAATGCAGCAGCTTCAGAGATGCACATATAATCACAACAATACCCACTGTTTGCAGTCCTTCTGACTCCCACTCCAGAGTCAACATCCTCTAAGCTCGCCAGGCATCCCAGTCTCCGGACCCCTTTTGGAGAGGAGGGAGTTAATTAGGCAATCCGAGCCACTTCTGTCTTGGAACAAAGACTTGCAAGGGGGAGGAGGTCTTCTAGGATGCACCGTGCAAAGCAGGCGGCCCCCCGGGGGGAGGACAGACCTGGGCTAAAGTCCAGCCTCTCATGCTGATCCTGGCATTTGCCTGGAGCGGGCGCCCCCACCCCGCCCCCCAACCACACAGACAGGTCCCTGGACTCTGTGCTGCAGCCGGCAGAGTACTTCGACTTCAGAGCTGAGGAAACATCTGTTGGAGAGCTAGAGACTTCACGGTGTCCGTGGAGAGGGGACACTCCCAGGAAACTTGCCCCAGAGAGCTGGGGCGCTCCATGCCGTGACGCTGGAGGCTCAGGGCTGCTGCGTGCTAGTTCGCTGCCTGGGAAGCTTGTGAATGTCCCCTTTTTACCATTGCAGCTGCTCGCTCCTCCGGATGCCTCCTCTGGGAGAAAGCTCAGCCTGCTCTCTGGATGCTAGGAAAAAGCACTTCTAGTGGTTGGTGCTTACAGTCTTTTCTCGACAGCCCCCTTGAAAGCACAGGCACCGAGGGGGAAACTATCAGAGGAAAATGATTTAGGGACTTTGTCAGACCACAGCATCCTAACCATCCCCTGCCACTAAAGAGCCCTCAAGGTCCCTGCGGACTCATCCAGAGCATTATAGGGAGATGGATGGAGAAAGACTGACATATTTACAGACATGGAGAGAGTGCAGGGCAGAACAGGCTTTTAAGAGCAATGTTTAGTGACTGCCCTCTGCAGGGTGGGTACTACTGCCCATACTTCAAAGTCTAGCCTCAGCATCTCCCTGGAAGTTTCACCAACTTCCCTGATGATTACAGCCCGCCCCCCCCCGCCCCCACCACACACACACACACACACACACACACACACAGTGGAAGTTAACAGCAATCACTTGAACACAGTCTAATGCTAAGGATCCAGAAGCATATGCTGTTATGCAAGGCACCCTGGTGATTGCTACTAACAAGGAAATATGGGGAGTGCTGGCCCCAGGGACTTCATCAGGTGTCTGTTCCAAACCTCTTCAAGCAGTGAGGCAGGTTTGCTCTGACAGGGACACCTGGCTGTTGTAGAATTATACTGTTTCAGTCACCATAATGGTCTCCCACCAGGCTAAGGATGAAGATGGCAGAATCAACTGGGACTCTTACGCTTCCGATAGGCATCTCTCACTCACTATGAGACCAGAGTTTGCTTCCATCTCAGTTCCGAGCACCATATTCTCCTGTTTCTTTGTCATTCAGTCTTCTGCAAGGCACTTAACTTATCTGGACACAGTTCCCATTCTTAAAAGCCAAACACTTCATTTAAAGGAAAATTATTGAATTAAATGCGGCTATAATAACAGCTAACGTATTGAGCATTCGCTATGTGCTTACCAATTTTACATTGATGTAGCAGTTAGTTATCCTTGCAAATCTATGTGGCAGCTATTAAGATCATCTTCACTTTGTAGATGAGGAAAATGGAGCACCAAGAAGTTAACTTATGTGCCAAGCTTTGGGGAGACTGATTGGATGGAAAAAGGCATTTATCCAGATGGTTATTAAGAACTACAAATAGCTGGATGATAAAATGATAATGCCCAGCTTGTGGGCATGCTTATAGGGGCTTCAGTTTAATGGAAGTGTCAGGCTTCAGTGGAATGGAAGTTCAGCGGGCTTGTGGAATACACAACTCTTCAGGACTCCAGGTGAGCAACTGTGCTTGGCAGTGGTAGATGGTGGTTCTAGGCTGGAAGTTTTAAAGAAGAGGAAACCATCGGTGATGGCAGTTTTTATCACGACCAGCTGTGGCACACTGCTGTCAAGCGAGGGTCTGCAGCTCTCGCTTAAATCTTACTTTTCTGCCTCCCTTGCTGGGGAAGCTCGGAGAAATTGCTCTATTTTTGAGTTTCATTTTTCTCAGTTTAGAAAAGGAAATGTTGTACAGTAGATATTGTGAAAGGGGAATAACTGCTCAAAAGGAAAGAACAACTGGGATGGGGGAAAGGAGAAAAGAAGGGAGGGAAAATTACACACACACACACACAAGATAGCTAAGATAATTATCTACTAATTTCCATTAGTTTATGGAAAAGAATAGCTTGTGCTTTAATTGATCAGTTTTTTAAGCCTATATTTTGTAATCTGAGCCACTACTTTGAAGATAACACTATACTACCTAGTAGCCTTTTTTTTTTTTTTTTTTTTTTGTACTGAGAATTGAATTCACGACCTTGCATTTGCCAGGCAGGTGCTGTGCCACTGACATATAGCCTTGGCCCTATTAACCATTGTTAACCTCCTATTATTTTGTTTCAAAATTCCATGTCATTGTTATTGTTTTTTCTCTCAAAACTAAATTTTTAAAAAGGGAAATGCTAAACCTGCTTAGGGATGATATGCGAATGAACCGACATTGTGGAGAGCAGGCCCAGGGCCCGGTGCCCACTGCTCAGGGCATGGGGCTTGTGGGATTATGAGAGATGTGCTCACTATGAAAGCGTCTGCAGAATCTCCTGGGGTAAAGGACTTGCTCTTCTCCGTTCCTGTCATCTAGTTCTGATATTATTTTCCCATGAAGACTTGCAAATTACCACAACATTAAGGCTATTTTTACTCCTCTGGTACCAAGAATACACTTGGGCCAATGTATTAGTCCTCATAATGATGCTTTTCATGTGAATGTCGTAGTCATGGGACATTTCTTTGTATCTATCTGTCCAGCCATCATCCATATGTCCACACATTTTTTTCAACTAATTTACCAAGCCAGTAGAGCTGGTCTTACTTAGTAGGTGATGGGCGAAAAGGTTTTAGGTAACTAGTTTTTGAAATTCCTACTGTATTTAGATATAAGAAATCAAAAGATCTTTAAAATATAGAAATTAATTAGATCAAGTCCCATATAACTGTGTCTTTTAATCCTACATGATGGCATTTCAAAGTTGAAAACAACTAAACACAGAGAGGTTAAGTGATTTGACCAAGCCAGTAGAATAAAAACTCTGAATTCAAATGTTGTCCTGTTCAGCTCCCAAATTCCTGCTTTTCCCTTTATATCCTCAAGAGAATTCAGCAAATATTTGTCAGTTGATCTCTTTATTAACAGGCTACATTTTAAAATTGTTACATATTATTTTCCAAAGAGTGAAAGCCCTGCCATCCTTGACATGCACACAGAAAACCCATAGATATAACCAACTTTGTTGATTTCAGAAAGGAAATCCCCTGAGGATAATCATATTCCAAGTTTAGGGTCAACTCCACGAGCCTCTTAGAGGTTAGTGTTTCCTAGCTACTTCCTCAGCCACTTTTATCATTTGGTCTTCTGAACTCTGTTTTACTTATTTATTTTTTTTTTTTTCATTTCAGCTACATCTTCTGACTTCCACAAATGCCAGGGCTACTTTGACATACCATCCACATGATGATTTTGTCACCAAAAGAATGCACTAACATTTCCTACCCAAAGACTCTAAACCGGATATCAAACTATGTACTTTAAATGTATAAATTAGTTTCATCCATTAATCAATGTCAGGTATTATCACTATTTCAAAGAAGAATAAAAACCAAGGGACATGGGAATTAGACTATTTTCACAAAGTCCCTTTCAGAAAAGGGTAAACCAGAATTTGTTTGTGATTTACTCTAAAAATAATAATCATTAACATCTATGGATTAGTTATAAGTATTAATCATATTCTAAAATCTTGACTTTTCAGTTTCTTAAGAGCTGTATAATTACATTGGCCTGTAGAAGAAAATTCAGGTTTCTAACAGTTGAGTAATTTGCCTGAAGTCATCTAGATTACACTTCAAAGAACTAAGACTTGAATATAGGACTGGTGTTTGGACCTACACACTTCATCATTTATTACTCTGTATCATGATGAATGATAACAAACAAACAAACAAACAAACTAGGACTCTGATAAGAGGGTGTGAAAAGCAAATGTTGTCAGAAACCCTTACTAAAATAAAAACTTACTCCAAGGAGGCATGCCCAAGTCAATTGGCCAGACAGAGAAAGAGGATCAGCCAGTAGACTTGTGATTTGTTTTAACTGGTCCATGTGATCCTTTCACATAATCTTAAATGAGATGACAGTGTATTTGAAACTTATTATTTCCTTCCTTTTAATGGTTGCTTTAGTTTGAAATTTCACCAGTAGATATTCCCTGGTGTTATATTTTGTATCTTGATGTTTCTCCAAAGTTTCATGCTCTTATAGGTAGGGCTTTGCAAATATGATTGGATTATGGGGGCTTTTCACTGACTTGTTAGAAGGCAGAGTCTGCTTGAAAGAGGAAGAACATGGTGGGCATGACCTAGAAGTGTCTATCTCCTTTCCCCTCTCTCCCTTTGACTTTCTCTGCCTCCTGGGTATAATGTCATGAGTAACACACTTCCACCATAGCCCTCTGCCATTCTGGCTTTGAGAAAACAGAATATAGACTGAAACCTCTACAAAACGTAAGCCAAAAGAAATTCCTTAAATTGGGGGTACTGGTGATTTTTCACAGTGATATAGTAAATAACCTTGCCATCAGGTTATTACGTGTTCCTTAGAGTGTTGACACTATGTTAACACAAAAACAACTGGAGTAAGGTGGAGAAAAATATTGAGTCAGCTTTAATTTACTACCTACCTATTGCCTCTTCAAACATAAACAAAGAATTGTAAAACACATGGGAACTGGTTAAGTCAAATTTAAATTTAATAGTCTAGGAAAGAGGTAGGAAATATCACTCCAAAATATAATGCTTTGATATAGATTATTTTGAATTGAAGAAAACTGAGAAAAAGCTCTCTATACTTTCCCTCCTGCTGAAGGGTGTTGCTTATCACCCTTGGATGCTTTTGTTTATTTCAAAATCTATGAAGTGCCACTCTTGTAGCACTAATGTTGATACCAGATAATTCTGGAGGCCAACAGTTGACAAAACAAGCCACCGTCACTGGTGAAATCCGGCTTGTGCCAGCCACGGTAGGCCAACTCTACCATGGTGGAAGGCAGTGGTATCCTCTGAAGTAGTGGGGTGGGAAACAGTACCACTTTCCTGTCTGGCTGCACTCATGTTGGAGTAGAGAATGGAGGTTTGATAGCCAGGAAGGACACTGCTAGGTAACAAAGAAGACACTGAAGCGAACTGTCCCAGTCCACTTGGGACAACGCAGAGGCAAAAAGAAGAAAATGAGAGAGGCAGATAGCTGCTGGCCATGCGACACACTCCTCCAGCTGGCTCAGGGAAGAGCAAGAGTCAGGTGCTTCTCATCTGTGTCAGAAGCAGAATATGAACACAGACATTTCTCTTTGTAAAGGTGTTTTCCTTCTACTCTCCCAAATCAGGAGGAAGAAAACCATCATCCCTGTGCAGAAAGTCAGCCTCGAGTGTGAGTAACAAACCTTACCAGAAAACTTAGATTGCATCGATTTCTTTTCTGCATTTTCCATTCCATAATTTACCACCCTTAGCAGCACAACCTCTTCTCCTTTGCCTTGTAACTCCTCTCTAACTTATCAGCAGTTGT